GCATTAGGTTGGCTTTTAGTTGCATTATCTACTGAGAAAAATGCAACAACAACACAATCAATTGAGACAATCTATAAACATATCAAAGGTAAAGTAAGTGAAACTGCTGAAACAGCCAATTTTATAACATCTTATGGTGATGATGGTCAATCTGTTATGTTACATTCTGATCAACGAACCGATGCTATCTTATTAGAAGCATTATTATATATTGATCCACAATCAACACTTTGTACAAAATTATGTAAAGGTTTACAAGCACATAAAGTTAAAGGTGCATGGAAATCAACACAAGAAAATTGTTTTGTATTGCTTGCATTAGAAAAATATTTTCATATTAAAGAAAAAGATACACCTGATTTTATTGCAAATATTTGGTTAAATAATGATTATTGTGGTCAACATCAATATAAAGGCCGAACAACAAATACACATACAGTTGATATTCCAATGAAATTTATTCTATCACAATCAAATGATAAGAATTTAATTATGCAAAAAGATGGTCAAGGTCGATTATATTATCGTATTGCATTGAATTATGCACCAACAAGTTTACAATTAAATGCAGTTAATTATGGTTTTAAGATTGAACGAAGATATGTAGCTGTTGATGATTCGTCACATGTTCAAAAACAAGAAGATGGTACATGGAAATTTAAATTAGGTGAAAAAATCAAAGTTATATTAACAATGACAACAACACAACGACGATATCATATTGCATTAGTTGATTATTTACCTGCTGGTTGTGAAGCATTAAATACACAATTGAAAGGTACAATTACAGGTGATACAGATTCATCTGTTACAAGATCAAATCAATCTAGATGTTGTCCAAACTCAATTACTGGTTGGACTGAACATGAAAATTTACGTGATGAACGTGCTGAAGCATTTCGATCATTATTATGGCCCGGTGTTTATGAATGGAGTTATGTTATGCGCGCAACATGTGCCGGAACATTTATAATGCCACCAGCAAAAGCAGAAGAAATGTATTCACCAGAAAATTTTGGTCGATGTGCTACAGAAAAAGCTACTATTAACTAAAAGATAAACTTGACGATTCCCACTTATTTTTTTATTTATCAGACTTCATTACTAATATTTTTTAACTATATATTTACTTTCACTTAGTTAGTTTATTATTCAAAATAATGCACTAATAAACTTGATTACTTCTATATATTTCTATTTTCAATACTGATGAAGCAGGCAGATTAGAGACGATGAAGATGGGTGTGGGTAGATTATGAGATGATAGATACTCACATCGTCACATATAGGACATATGAAACATTTTCGAACAAATAGATGACATCA